CCTCAGCCTCCCCCTGCTCCCCCAGCTCTGACTGCCCTCTCTCCTCAGCCTCCCCCTTCACCCTCAGCTCTGATGGCTCTCCTTCCTCAGCCTCCCCCTGCTCCCTCAGCTCTGACTGCCCTCCCTCCTCAGCCTCCCCCTGCAGTCCCAGCCCTGCCATCTCTGAGCTGGCCGGTGCTCACTGTTGCTCTTGTCTGTGTCCCCCAGCAATGATGGCTCCTTCCAGATTTCCTACTCCTGCAATGTGCTCATCTACCCCTCAGGCAGTGTGTACTGGCTGCCGCCCGCCATCTTCCGCTCCTCCTGTCCCATCTCCGTCACCTACTTCCCCTTCGACTGGCAGAACTGCTCCCTCAAGTTCAGGTGCACCCACTTCTCCAGCTCCCCCAACTCAGGGCGCCCTGCTGGGCCCGAGGGAGGTGAATGGAGCACCCTTGGGCTGAGGGCCCTGCCAATCCTGATTAGAGTCCCTCCCTCACAGTGGCCCTTTCTGACCCTGAGCCTCCCTTACTCGTTCCCCCCGCCACTGGCCCCACCAGTAGCTGGGAGCCAGCCACTGCCCACTGCCCTCTCCAGCTCGCTCAAATACACCGCCAAGGAGATCACCCTGAGCCTGAAGCAGGAAACAGATGAGGAGAACCGCACCTACCCTGTGGAGTGGATCATCATTGACCCGGAAGGCTTCACAGGTGCGGGAGTGGACATCCTCCAGATAGGCACAGCCTTGTTCTTCCTAGGAACACAGGGCTGTTCTTGGGAAGATAAGCTTAACAACTGAGATAATTTGACTGTTCCTTCCGTCTGCATGGACCTAATTTTGGTTTGTGATGCCCTTGGGCCCAAACATACTGGGGGATAGATGTCCCCCAGATAGGCACACTCCACAGAGAGACGCCCCCATGGCTATACACGTATATCCAGATAGACATACCCCCACAGATAGACATACCCCCATGGGTAGACACCCCCCAAATAAACACACCCCCACAGATACACACACACCCAGATAGACACACATCCCCAGATAGGCGCCCCCCCCAGATAGACACATTCCCCAGATAGACACACCCCCCCAGATACACATCCCCCTCCCAGATAGAAACATCCCCATGGATAGACACGCACACCCAAATACACACCCCTCCCAGATAGACATCCCCCCCAGAGAGACACACTCCTACAGATGCACACCTCTCACACAGATGCCTCCCTACACATATACCTGCCCAGATAGACACACACCCCCAGACAGACACAACCCTGTGGAGAGATGACCCCCACAGACATATGTCCCCCCACGAATATACACCCCAACAGACATACACAGGACATACACACACCCAGTGATGCATGTGTGCGCACACACACAGGTACACAGAACCACAGATAGACATAGACAGACAGACACACCAACCCACAGGGAAACACAGACACAGATACGCACAGACCCACACACGTCCCAACACACAAAGACACCACACAAATTCAGCACGTCAAACAGAAAGAAGCCCCACTGGGGGTTTGTGTATCAATACAAGAGAGAGACACAGTGCCAGTGCCCCAGCCCTACCCGCCCCCCACCCGCCCCAAAGCTAAAATCCTTCCTGAGTCTGCACAGGGCTCCCTGGGGTGGATGTGGCTGACAGAGTGGGGGCTGGCCTTTGCTGTCATCCTGATGGGCTCTATGTCGCCCCCTCCTAGCACCTCCTGCCCCTGTGACCAGGCTTAGATTTTTTTGGGGTCCCTTC